CAGACGATATAGCTCCGTGAAATAAATTTATATTTCTTCAATTATATATCTTCTTCAACTTCTGTAACAGAAACGAAGATCTAGCTATTGTAATATTCGAGATATCGGACAAATTATTCACATGCTCAAATTTTCCAATTTTAGAAATTTTTGGTTATGGATTTTTAAAGAGTCATAACAATTTTAATTTTCATGATGTCTTCGAGAAATTTACTATTTCTGAAAGAAAATTATATGGGACATATAATCATAAACAATTGTAGTAGTCTAGCCTAACAAATATTCGAGTTATCGGTAAAAATACAAGGTGCGCAAAATCTTTGAAATTTTACTCTTTTTTAAGTAGTCATCTTCTAGGGCTCATAACTCGTAAACTAAACGAGATATTGTGGTAAAATAAATGAATGTATGAAGAGGAAGATCTCTTCTTTAACTTTTGTATTAGTTGCCGAAGTCTGACTGTTCAAATTTTTGAGATATCGGAAAAATTAAACACTTACTGAACATTTTCAATTTTAGACATATTTAGGGAAATTTTTTCTAGAAGCCATATTTTTAGCAAATTTCAGAATATCTTCGAGAAATTAACTATTTCTGAAAGAATGTGGAGTGAATTTTATAGGTGTAAACGGTTTTAGTAATATAACCAAACCAATATTCGAGTTATCGGTAAATATAGCCAAGTGCGCAAAATTTTGAAATTTTTGGTAATTTTTGAGTAATCAACATTCAGCGGTCATAACTCCTTAACTATACGATATATCTCCGTAAAATAAATTTATATTTAAAGAGGAAGATCTCTTCTTCAAATTTTGTGACAATTTCAAAGATGTAGCTACAACAATTTTTGAGATATCGGGAAAATTTAGAACATACTCAAAAAGTTCAAATTTAGAAATCTTTGGGTAGACATTTTCTAGAAGCCATAACTTTTTCGAATTTCAGAATATCTTCAAGGAATTAACTATTTCTGAAAGAATGTGGAGTGAATTTTATATTTGTATAATGTTTTAGTAATGTAACCAACAAAATATTCGAGTTATCGGTAAAAAAAAACACGGGTGCGCAAAAAAATTGAAATGTTGGTCTTATTTGTGTAACCTATTTCATGTGGCCATAACTCCTAAACTAAGCGAGATATCTTAGTAAAATAAATTTATATTTTAAGAGGAAGATCTCTTTTTCAACTTTTGTAACAATTTCAAAGATGTAGCTATTTAAATTTCTGAGATATCGGAAAAATTTAGCACATACTCAACATTTTCAATTTTAAAAATTATTGGGTATATATTTTCTAAAAGCCATAACTTTTGTAATATTCAAGAGATCTTCGAGAAATCGACTATTTCTGAAAGAAGAATAAGTCTATTTTATATGTGTGAAAAGTTTTAGTAACATAACTTAACTAATATTAGAGTTATCGGTAAAAATACACTGGTGCGCAAAAAAATTGAAATGTTGGTCATATTTGTGTAACCTATTTCATGTGGCCATAACTCCTAAACTAAGGGACATATCTTAGTAAAATAAATTTATATTTTAAGAGGTAGATCTCTTCTTTAACTTTTGTAACAGTTCCCAAAATCTAGCTGGTCTAATTCTCGAGATATCGGGGAAAATTTAACACATACTCAAATTTTCCTGTTTTGGAAATTTTTGGGTAAACATTTTCTAAAAGCCATAACTTCGGTAAATTTCAGAATATCTTCAAGAAACTTACCATTTCTGAAAGAGTGTATTTTATAGTTGTAAAAGGTTTTAGTAATGTAACCGAACAAATATTTGAGTTATCGGAAAAAATACACTTGTGCTTAAAAAAATCTGAAATGTTGGTCATATTTTTGTAACCTTTTTCATGTGGCCATAACGTCTAAACCACGGGACATATCTTAGTAAAAAAAAATTATATTTTAAGAGGAAGATCCCTTCTTCAATTTTCGTAACAGTTCCCAAAATCTAGCTGGTCTAATTCTCGAGATATCGGGAAAAATTTAACACATACTCAAATTTGCCTGTTTTGGAATTTTTTGGGCAAACATTTTCTAAAAGCCATAACTTCCATAATTTTCAGAATATCTTTGTAAAATTTGTCGTTCCTTGAAGAAAATTGAGATTTCTATACATTTCAAAAAAATTGTAGTATTGGAGATATCGGTAATAAAACAAATCCCTAGCTTTTCTAAGTAAATTATATTTTTTCACTCACACTTTTTTCCAAATTTCCCAATATTATTCTAAGGAGAAGAAAACATTTCGATTTAATTTCCATCTTATGTGTTTTCATTTCGGAAAATTTATTTACCTTACATTTCAGTTGTTTTGTAAACAAGTCGTTTATTTTCACATTTTTCCATTGATGTTTTGAAAACCAAAAAAGCCATAAAATGAATTTTGAAAAACTGGAACTATTCAATTTTCACATATGTTGAAATCACAACAAATAAATGTGCAATGAACAGAATTGAAATAAAAGTTTTGAGAAGAAAACATTAAATTTTGAAATTGCGCAATATGTATATGTGTGTGTGCGTAATGCAACACGTTTCGAAAATATATTTCCTCGAACAAGACTAGATAAAATTTCTTGGCATAAAAGATAAAAATCTCATTTTTTGGGGGAAATATAAACAAAATGATGGGAACCATTATGAGCCAATGGGAAGGGGGGAGGGGTGCAATTTTTTGGTAAAAAGAAAAAAAATAATTCGAACATTATTTCAACAAGTTCTGGGAACAAAAATTCTCTTTTACGCATCATTACAAAAACATCTCCAAAATTAATCATGCTCTTTGTCAAAAAGTAATACTAATAAAAAAATCATCATCATTATGATGATGAGCTCTTCCTGTCATTGTTTACAGCTTCATTGAGTCACTGAGTGAGTGATGAACTCACGAATCTCTTTATTTGCTTATAAAAAATGCACGTGATTCTATGAAAAAAAAAAACACTGAATTAATAGAAGAGACATTTACGCGGCGCGTAATCTTTTTCAAGATAACTCAAAAATTTTGGTCTGCTATATAAGGTTTTCTAATTTCTATTTTAAGGGGAACACTGATTTCCAACACTAATACCCGGTTTTTTGAGGATAAACCGTATATCGCACAAGTTATGGTCTCTAGAAAATAGATCTACAAAAATAATCGAAATTAAGAAATTATGACTTTGGTTTAATTTTTACCGATATCTCGAAAATTTTCACAGATACATGAACGAAGCTGTTACAAAAATTACAGAAGAGGTCTTCCTCTATCAAGCCTTATTTATTTTACAAAGATATATCAAATGTCTGAGAAGTTATGACCTCTAGAACAGCATTACTCAAAATATGAAAATATTTTGAAAATGTGCGTAATTGCAAATTTTTACCGATAACTCTGAAATGTGTTTATACATACCAAAATTGCACTTCATAATTTTAGAGATCACATATTTCTCTATCACAAAACAATAAATTTTATAAAAATATTCCGATAATTACCAAAGTTATGGCCTCTAGAAACATACTACCCAAGTATTGTCGACAATCACTATTTAAGGGAATATATTTATTTTTTCCGATATCTCCAAAATTTGTTGAGTTACATCAACATAATTGTTACGAAATTCGTAGAAGAGATCCTGCTCTACAAACTCCAAGTTATCTTATTATAATATATTGGTTAGTCTAAAAGTTATGGACCCCAGAAGTGCCTCACTCAAAATATGTGAAAATTTTGAAATTTTCCGTACATGTAGATTTTTACCGATAACTCTAAAATTTTCTCAGATATATAACAGATTTTCATTATATGTTTAGAGAGCACATATTACTCTATCACAAAACAATAAATTTCATAAAGATATTCCGAAAATTACCAAAGTTAGGACCTCTAGAAACATACTACGCAAGAATTATCAATAATCACTTTTTATGGGTATATATTTATTTTTTCCGATATCTCCAAAATTTGTTGAGTTACATCAACATAGTTGTTACAAAATTCGTAGAAGAGATCCTGCTCTATAAAATGTAAGTTGTTTCATTGAGATATCTTGGTTAGTTAAAAAGTTATGGCCCCCAGAAGTGCATTACTAAAAAATATGTGAAAATGTTGAAATTTTGTGTAGTTGCAAATTTTTACCGATAACTCTGATATTTTCTCAGACACATTACAATTTTGCTTTACAGTTTTAGAGAGCACATATTACTCTATCACAAAACAATAAATTTCATACAAATATTCCGAAAATTACCAAAGTTAGGACCTCTAGAACATACTACCCAAAAAAATTATTAAAAAATTTAGGTAACTATATAATTTGTCCGATATCTCAGGAATTTGAGAAGCTGCATGGGTATAATAGTTACTAAAATTAAAGAAGAGATCTTTCTCTATAATTGTCCATTTATTTTACTAAAATCTAATAAATAGTTTCGAAGTTATGGTCCCCAGAACTGCATTACTCAAAATATATTAAAAATTGGCAAGTTTTTGTACTTGTAGATTTTTACCGATAACTCTGATATTTTCTCAGACACATAAGATTTTTGCTTTACAGTTTTCGAGAGCACATATTACTCTATCACAAAACACTAAATTTTATAAAGATATTCGGATAAATACCAAAGTTATGGCCTCTAGAAAACCCAAAAAATGCTACACCTCCAAAAATATAGGTAAGTATACAATTTATCCGATATCTCAGGAATTTGTTAAGTTGCATGGGTATAATAGTTACAAAATTTAAAGAAGAGATCTTCCTCTACAATATCCCTTTTATTTTACTAAAATATAATAATTAGTTTAGAAGTTATGGCCCTCAGAAGTGTGTTACTTAAAATATATGGAAAATTTTAAATTTTGCGTAAATACTGATTGTTCCCATAACTATGCACTTTTTGGACTTATTTCGTATAGGGTATTATAACAGTTTTCCGAAACTGTTATGCAACTAATTTTTTCATCAAATTTTTATTTTTTTAAGATTTTTTTATGAAAAAAGTTCCCCTTACCTTGCACTTGTATATTCACTTGACGTTGCACAACCTATCGACGTGCCTTCCGATGAATCTGTGATCGAGACTTGATGTTGCAGGACCCGCCTGGAACTTTGATTTGCCGTTGATTGTGTCGTCGCCGATGTGGATAAATTGCCAATATCTTTGTCGTACGAGCTATTTAAGCACTGAATACTCTGGGCTTCAGTGTGTGTTTGCAATGGGGCCATGAGCGAATCTGTGGGCAACTGGGCGAGAGTGCTAACGCTGCTGGTCGATCTATGGGGCGAGAGAAAGAGAGGGAGAAGAGAGAAAATTTATTAATGGAATGCCTTAAAAAAATTTAAATTTTTATTAAAAAGAAAATGGAGAAATGGATATCCTTAAATTAAAAAAAAAATATTTTATTTAATTTTCTTGAAAAAATACATTAGGTGTGTTCCACTATTTTTGTATTTTTTACAATAGGTGTGTTCCAGCACTTTTTTTCAAAAAAAAAGAAATAAATAAAAAAAAGAAAAAAATAAATGTGATGTAAATAAATTAAAAAAAAAAATACAAAAAATATTTTTATTTAATTTTCTTGAAAAATTACATTAGGTGTGTTCCACTATTTTTGTATTTTTTTTTTAATTTTTGCAAAATTTTAAATAAAAAAATATTTAAAAACATAAATGTGATGCAAATAAATAAAAAAAATAAAAATTATTTTTAATTTATTTTTTTTGAACAAATTTACATTAGGTGTGTTCCACTATTTTTTTTTTTGTAAATAAATTTTAAAATAACGTGCTGGAAAATCCCACAAATTAACGTCACTCTAAGTCAAAACTAATCATGAACCAAAAAAAAATTTACATTAGGTGTGTTCCACTATTTTTGTATTTTTTTACTTTTACAAAAATTAAAAAAAATATATTTAATGTTATAAGTGTGTTGCAAATGAATCAAAAAAAAATTAAAAATTATTTTTTTAATTTTCTTGAACAAATTTACATTAGGTGTGTTCCACTATTTTTTTTTTAATTTTGGACTATTTTCTTTACTTTTTTTTTGTGTTGGAAAATCCCATAAATTTACGTCACTAAATTTTTACGTCGTAACTAATCATGAACCAAATAAAAAAATTCAGGTTAACCATCATCCAAAATTTATTTGAAATTTTGTTTTGAAACAAAGCGAAAAAAAAAATCCAACGGATTTTTTGTTTTAAATTTCTGTATATTGACCTATTTGGCAAATGTTTTGTATAAGTGTCAGATTTCTTGTTCGTCGTTAACATTTTTCCATTGTTTTTTTTTCTTTGAGGTCCATAAAAGTCAAAAAACAAATTCGCAATTTGCGGTTCAGATATTTATCTTGTGAACAGAAAAGAAATCACACATACATACACACACTAACACATCACTAGAATGAATGTCTTGTTTGGATTACTTGACAGTTTGATAAATGGTTTTACTTTAGTGATGATCCGTTCCCGCCATAGTCACGTACGTCGGGTGTTAATATTTTGTTTTTAAGAAATTAAAAAAAAAAATTCCCAAATATTTTTGTTATGGTTATTGATTTGACACTAAAATAACAAAATACTATTTTTTTGAAATATTACTGACACAATTTTTATACAAAATTTATTTGAAAATAATTTAGAAATTTAAATTAGTTTTTAGAATAAATAAACCTTATATTTCTATTGCCTACCTTAAGGGGTTCGCATTAAAACCAACATTTTTATAACCGTTCCTTATCAGTTTTTGGTCATTCCTTATCAGGAATTTAAATCCCTCCCCTTATCATTAAGAAAAATAATTAAATAACGGAAAATTGGTATACTTTGGGGCTGTGGGGGTTAAAATATTAATATTTTTATAGAAAACCTCCATAAACATAAAAATCAAGAAAAATTTGGCCAATTTTCATTTTTTCCGCGAGTATAACAGTTATAAAATTAACTGTTATACTCGCAAAAATGATCTGAAATGACTAGAACTACCACCAATTTAATATTCTAATGCATTTTAATTCATTTTCATGATTTTTGGTGTGTATAACAGTTATAAACTTAACTGTTATACTCACAAAAATGACCCTAAATGACTAGAAATACAATCAATTTACTATTCTAATGAATTTTAATGCATTTTCATGGTTTTTGGTGAGTATAACAGTTATAAAATTAACTGTTATACTCCCAAAAAATGGTTCGATATTGCGGGAAATACAACCAATTCACTATTTAAATGTATTTTAATTAATTTTCATGGTTTTTGATGCGTATAACAGTTAAAAAATTAACTGTTATACACACAAAAATACTTCAAAAATGACGGAAAATATAACAATTTAACTATTTTAATGCATTTTCATTGTTTTTGATGAGTATAACAGTTATAAACTTAACTGTTATACTCGAAAAAATTATCCGACATGATTAGAAATACAACTAATTTACTATTCCAGTAAATTTTAATTCATTTCCATTGTGTTTGGTGAGTATAACAGTTATAAAAATAACTGTTATACTCGCAAAATGATCGGGAATTACTATAAATATAAACAATTTACTATTCTAATGAAGTTTAATTCATTTTTATGGGTTTTGATTAGTATAACAGTTATAGACTTAACTGTTATACACACAAAAATTATCGAAAACTGTTATACAAGATAGAAAAATAAATATTAATTGACTTAGTGATGATTTTTAGGCCCATTTTGGTAGTATAACAGTTTTCGAAAATTGTAAAATAAACTGTTATACACATAAAAATTTAATTTTTTTTATAAATTACTAACGAACTATTGAAAATACGATAATTCACATAATTTTAATTTGTTTTCACGTAGTTTTGATAGTATAACAGTTTTCAAATTATGTAACTGTTATACATGCCAAAATGATAAAAAAATGACTACTAATAATTGCAAATGACGGGAAATACACTTATTAACAGTTTTTTATGGATTTTTATGCATTTGTATTACAGTATAACAGTTTCGGAAAACTGTTATACGCTGAAAATTGGTATTCTACATTGCAAAAAATTATATTTTTAATGAATGTGGATGAGAAATAAATAAAAATTTATGTTTCAATCAAGTTTTCATTATTATAACTCTCCAAAATAACTGTTATACTGCAACAATAACTGTTATACAGTAGAAAAAGTTGCGAATTTTCATAAAAATGAGTATATAATGACTAAATAAGTCATTTTATGCATGATTTGAGTTGTATAACAGTTTGAAGAAAACTGTTATACTCGAAAAATTTTCGCAAAAATTGATATTTTTCAATAATTAATAAATGTGGAAACATTTTGAGATAATTTACCGTAGTATAACAGTTTGAAAAAAAAACTGTTATACTCAAAAATTTTTCGGAAAATGGATATTTTTGAATAACAAATAAGTATGGAGTCGTGTTGGTGCGATTTACTGCAGTATAACAGTTTAAAAAAAACTGTTATACTCTATAAAAATTTAAGAAAAAATTACATTTTGAATTTTTTTTTAAATTAAATATTAACAAAATTTAATATTCCATCTTACCCAAATTTATATTCTTATATGTAATAAATAGCTGACCGATTCTTTCGAAGGTTTAAATAAATTTAAATAAATGTATATTTATTTAATTTAATATAAATCTCTGCCTATTATTTAATCTCAAAAAAAAATTATTTTCTTTTTTTATTAAATAAAAATATTTAAATACAATTATTTCCTAATTTTTTTATTTGACATTTTGTTGTTGCTGATGATGATGGTGATTTCCTTGTATAAATGGCAATTTAAATATGTCATTGTTTTATAAATATTTTTATTTCTTTGTTGTTGTGGTAGAGAGAGCGAGGGTGAGAGCAATTTCATAAGTTAATGACCCCTCTTCTCTCACGATGTTTTTTTATTTGCAATTGTTGTGGGAAATAAAATTCATATTTTTTTCTGTGTAAATATCACTACCCCTTTTTTTGTTTGAAAACAACAAAAAGCCACATTTATATAATTGTAATAAATGAGGCCTGTATTTCCGATATAATACATAATCATTTTTTATAAATTGAAAAAGGGTGGATGGGATTGGGATGATTGAAAATAAACACCATGATAGAGAAATGTCAGAAAATCATGGCAATCATGGCTATAGTAGAAAAATTTTTTATGACTTAAAATTACTATTTTTACGATTTTTATGTGTATAACAGTTTTCCATAACTGTTATACTGTAGCTAAAACTGCTTAAAACTGTCTTAGAATAATAATTTATAGATTTTTAGGACATAAAATTCATATTTTTACGATTTTTGTGTGTATAACAGTTTCCTATAACTGTTATACTGGAACTAAAACTGCTTAAAATAGTCTTAAAATAATAATTTGTCGATCTTTAAGACAAAAAATTTATATTTTTACGATTTTTATGTGTATAACAGTTTTCTATAACTGTTATACTGGAGCTAAAACCACAGAAAATGGTCCCAAAATGGTTATCTATGCAAAATAGATGAATTTTGGACAATTTTTATTAGTATAACAGTTTTCGCTAACTGTTATACTCAAGCAAAAACACCAAAATTGGGCTAAAAATGAGTTTTTAATGGATAAGAATGAATTTACAGACATTATCACTTATGTAGGAGATGTTTTTAACTTTTATACCCAAGGAAAAAAACTGTTATACAGCTTAATTTTCTAAATTTTATTAAATTATACTTCTATATCACCCACATATCGCCCCTGAAATCAATCAACGGCAGTTATTCTGTACCAAAACAATTTTTTAGTGCATAAAATCGTAATTTTTACGAATTTTATATGTATAACAGTTTTCTATAACTGTTATACTGCAGCTAAAACTACTGAAAATGGTCTCAGAATGGTTATTTTTGCCGAATAGATGAATTTTGGACAATTTTTTATTAGTATAACAGTTTTGGCTAACTGTTATACTCGAGCAAAACATACCAAAATCGATCTCAAAATGACTTTTTAATAGATACGAATGCATTTGAAGGCATTTCCTCTTGTAGAACAACTTTCTATAACTGTTATACTCAATAAAAACTGTTATACAGCATTATTTTTTTTTAATTTTATTAAATTATACTTCTGAATTATACATGTCGCCCATAAAATCGTTCAGAGGAAATTTTTATGATATGAAATTCTTATT